GAGTTTCCAGTACCAATCACGGATTCAAACCCTCGTCTCCAGAGTCCTAGTCCAACACTCAAACCATTACCCACACTAGCTCTCTTAAGTGTTGACCTGCCATTCTGTAATTAATTAAATTATACCTATCTGCTCTTGTTTGACTAGTAATTAGATTTGTCTCCTAATCCCTGGTTGGGCAAAACACAATATTCCAGATGGTGTTGGACTGCAATTCCCATCAGGCCTAAACAGCATAGCCAATAATTCTAGGAGCTGCAGTCCAACAACAATTAGAGGTTTACACTTTTTCACTCCCACCTTAATCCATGCAGAACATATTCTCTACCACTGATGATTGAGTTTTTGCTGGAACATCCAAATCCACTGTATTGATTGTATCGGAATAGGAATCCCCTGGATTTCCATTTCCCATGACTGGCATGAGGGCAAAAGAAGCATTCCTTGGAAATCTATGCCATTTCCAAAATTATTCTGTATTCCAACACATGAAGATTTGATGGCAAAGATATATGAGCTCATTGAAATTGACAAATTGATAAGGGCTGCAACTGCACTGCAGAAAAAATCCAGTTTGATACCACTTTAACTGCCATGGCTCAGTGCTATGGAATTCTGGAATTTGTTGTTTTGTAAAACATTTTTGCCTTCTCTTTCAGAGAGCTCTGGTGCCACAACAAACTACAAATCCCAGAATTCCATAGTATTGAGCCATGGCAGTTAAAGTGGTGTCAAACTGGATTATTTCTGCAGCGCAGATGCAGTCAATGTTAATTAATGAATGAAAAGTGTTGGGTTAACTTTAAGAAAGATCAGAATATGTTTCTTTTCTTTTTTTTAGATTATGATGGAGGACTTTGTCAGTTTGAGGCTTTATAAGACAACATAAAAATAATAGTAATGTGCTTACATCAGAAGTGTAACTTTGATGTTGTATTTAAGAAGCTCAATATAGTTGAGTTAAAGGTTTTTGTTGGGATTCCCTGAACGGGAATGATCTCAGACAGAGACTACTGAGTGCCCATCTGAGGGGGAAAAACACCCAAAGAGGTGAAATCTCCCTCCTCCATTTATTGACAACCTGTTTACAGCACAACTGGATGTTTGTTCATCATTCATTAACTATCAGAAGGCGGTCAGGCTCCAAAGGTCAAGATAAGCAATCAGGACAGGAAACCAGCCAAGCCAATAATTAAGGGTGGACCAGACAAGTAATTAACTAGAATGTGTATCTGTGTGTGCTTGTGTAAACACAGCCAGGCTGTGTACATGTAATTAACAGCCAGGTTAATCCTTAGGCAAACATCAGCCAAGCTAGTCACTAGAATGCAGGCTGGCTGGGTTATAGTATTTTAGGTCTCAGCCAGGCTTTAGATATTAAACTTATGCATATGGCAAATGCAGCCTATTTTCATATATAGAGGGAAATATGAAATTAACATGGTATGCCAGTGAATTAACCCCACAGGTTTTCAGCAGCGAGGGGAGTCATATATGTACTGATTATTTTGTGTGTGTGTTTTGTATTTCATGTTGGAATGTTATATTTTTACATGCTTTTTGTTTTTAATGTTATTTTATGAATTCAAATATATATATTTAATACACTTTCAAACAGAAATCCATACCATTTCTAATTTTATTAATTTCCAACATGCATTTTGGCAATCAAAAAATGTGCACATTTGGTGGAAAGGCATGTGTGTGTGTGTACCTATGTGCCCCCCCTTTTTTGCTGTAAAATTTTGAACGAAGCAGAACTCCTTCAAAGACAAACCTCGGTTTGTCTCATGATGACACCTGTAAGGAAGCAGATGGTAATCTCACCTCCAGCAAAGAGAAGAACGGTGTAGTTAGCTTGGAGTGCCACCTGTAAAATGAAGCCTAACCCAACCTGTGTGCAACTGAAGAAAAGAATGAGAAAAATCCAGGGATCTTTTACATTTTGGCTTTTCCCCATCTGCTAAGCCAGATCTGCAGCCAGACTGTAAAAGACGTTTATCTGCAATTAGCACTAGCCAATTTCTCTTTCCCTTCCTACCTCCCCATCTCCCAGGCCGCAAGTAACATAATCAATATGGCATCCTGCCGCCTGTTTCCCAATAAGACTACTTGCTCAACAGCTGTTAAGAAGGGTGGAGCAACAGCCAAAACTCACAATGAGTTTGTACACTTAAATCACTGCAGTTTGGCCCAGTAAGCATCACTGCAGAGTCAGCATTGAGAAATTCCTGGCATGTGTTCAAAGACCAGTAAACAGTCCAAACAGTTCGTGCTCCACAAAATGATGCCCTTTTCACATTTTGGTACCCAAAGAGAAGTGCTTAAACTAGGGACCTGTAGCCATTTCAATAAAGTATTGAGCAACAAAGGAAATCCAGCTCACCACCAGCTAAGGGGTGTATTATGGATTGCCCCAAGTCAGTTCTGGGGTGAGAAAAAGTGAAATAGTGTGTTTCCAATGTGTTCATTTGAGAAAGATGCCAAGGAAAAAGGTGAGGAAAGGAACTGGGCTATATTAGGAGGGATTGAGTGAGGTCACTGGAGATATAAAATCAATCCCTCCATATTTTTTTCATTCTGTGTTCATAGCAGATCATGAAAGAACCGTGGTGAGCAAGCAGTGGTTGGCCTCCCTGAGTCTTCCTTTAATTTCCTTTTGCTTAGTAGCCTAACTTGTTTGCCTTTCTGGTTAATTAGCTTAATGAATTGCTAATAGTTGTGAAACTTATTCTTAACTACCACCTCCCCAATTGTCCTTAGTTATTATTTATTAGATGGAAAGCAGGCAGTCTGAGGGGTTATTTAGCAGTGAAAATAATCCAGGTAGAATCTGAGTCAAATCTTTCATGTTCAGATGTATTTCAAATGCATCCAATTAAGTTTGTGGGGACTGCCAAAAAAAAAAAAAAACACTTAACCCAGGATAACCGATCTTGGGTTTTTCTCCTGTTTTTCTAAGATTCACATTTTGGACTGTGTGAATAACTGATGTGAATAGGCCAGGGATAAACTAGGATAAAACTCTGCATGCCTTGAATGTGCTTTGAATACATTTGCATCATCGACTCCATCTTTGTTCGAGTGCTGACACATGTGAGCAACAGAACTCACAGAGATTTGCATAGATGCGATTCCATAGCGCGAGCAATAAATTTGGAATGCATCGGTGAAATTGTTTGCAGAGTCGTACTAAAACAAAACAATGTCTGAATGACTCCTGAGTTAGGATAGCTAAGTAGGACTATTGAAGGAGAGAGCATATCCCAGGGTTGCTATCTGCTTTCATTGTCAGCAACAAATGACCCAGGGTATATAATATAAAAATTTCAGCAACTTGGTGCAATTCCTTAAGAGATAGCATCAAGAGATCCTGCCCAAGGCAGAGGAAGAATAAAAGTCAAAACATCCAGGCAGTCAGAAAAGAGCTGTAGGGCAGGAACAAAATAATGGAAGCAAAGCTTTCAGTCCTGACCACCACTACCCCACTTGCAAGATGCTTAGGTAGATACTTGGAAAGAAGTGGAGTGGAGGAAGATAATCAGCACAAGAATGGGAAGTTTCAAGTATCAGTCCTGATACCGAATGCCTGAAGGTGCAGCAGAGGAGTCACTAGGGATCTTACCATTTGGACTAGTAGTAATGATAAATAAAGCATGCTCTCATTACTATCACATTTTAAATAGCTTGCAGGTCCTCCTGGTACTGTTTAAACATCTATTAATAACTTTTTTCCAAAAGGAGGAAACAGATGTGGGCTTCTGGCCACTTATTTCAGGTTCTTGCTTTGTCAGCATTGGGGGGACGTGGTGAATCAGGTGGTGAATCTGCTGTGGATTTTAATTGATACTTCAAAGGAGCTGCCCATGGTGCTGAACTCTATATCCCCAGAATAGGTTCAGCACTCTTTTAAAGTTTAGACTAAAATCTGGAGTAGATTCATTGCCCCACTGACATGGAAGCCACCAGCTCCCATTGCCCACTTTACTTCTCTCATATACTTCATGTTCACCATATATAACAGCCTCGGCCAGCACATGAACCATGTGGCATTCCTCCACTAGCATTTAGTCATCCAATCATCCAATCCTATACATAGGTGGCTGTGCTGCATCAGAAGTAATTAGTTACAGATAACTAGTTCTGTGCATATTATAATGGCAAGATTAGTCAAACTGTTATAATTACAGTGAAAAGGAAGGAAGCTAGCCCTCATTAAGTTAATATGGTGATGAAACTTCATTTTGCCATTGCTACATGCCTTGATGTTGCTTCTGACTTATGGCAACACTAAAATCAACCTATCATAAGGTTTTCTCAGCTGGATTTCTTTAGAAGAGGTATGCCACTGCCTTCCACTGAGGCCAAGAGAGTATGGCTTGCTCAAGGATACCTAGTGGGTTTGCAAGGCTAAGTAGAGATTTGAACCCTGGTCTCCTGGAATCCAGGTCCAGCATTTAAACCACTAAATTACATTGGGTCTGGCAACTGCATTGTGTTTTCATCATTGCAAAGGAGAATTTGTTGCAACTAGCCATTTGTAACTAGTTGCCTTTGACTTTTGAAGCATAGCCACTATATTCATGGCATTGTTTTAATAAATGCGTTGCATTCTGTCTTTGTCCTAGCTTTGTTTAAATTGTTTTACTTTCTGTACAAGCAGATGAATGCAAACTACACTGACTTAGTTTCCAAACAATGAAGAGGATCTAAAGGGGGAAATCTGAGCCCAAAACAAACAAAAGAAAATGTTATAAAATAAGAAGCTTAGCACATCCAATATTTACCTATTTGTCAGTGATATGCTTTGTTTTTCTGGAAGCTTATTCCCCTCCTGTTTGGATGTCAAATGGGCATGTTAAATGACAAGTTGAGCAAAGCATGGGGAGACAAAGCAGCAAATGCTTTAAAAATGGCAATGGTTCAAGCCAAAGTTTCCAGAACCAGCTCTCCTGAAAGCCAACCCAACTATGGGCACCTGCACATGGTTTCTGGCTTTCTGTGGGGCTTTGATGGATTGCTTCGGAGTATTTCTAATTATCTCTAATTAGGCTTACGAAGGCTCCCTTGTGCATATACCTAGCTAATTCAAACTTTCTGCTTGTCATCTTTATTTATTTTTTCCTCTCCTGTTTCTGTCCTTTCCTTCCCAACCCAATTCCCTTCACATCAATCAAACAGTCCGTCCTGTGCCAACCAGTGAAAGCATTCTTACTGAACAACAAGTCCAATCAAAATCAACAGCTGGAGCCCCCAAAAAGGAAAGGAGGGGTTAGATTCCTATTTCTTTTCCTCATTTCATGATTCATTTGAGTCCCTTTCTCTAGTCCTTGGCGCTTTAATTTCCACCAAAGGTGGCTTTGCTTCACACAAGTTTAAAACAATTGCAACACAAGGCAGAGTGAACCTACACTGAGTCACAGGTAACATATGATTAGACCAATGTTCACTTCACTGTGTCTACACAACACAAAAATGCTGAACATTCACATGTTTTCCATGACCTGGGTCCTATTGTTACTCCTGGCTAGAGTAGACTCATGAGATCAGTGGTATTTATCTGTGTGTCATTTCACACCATTCAGGGTGCTGCCACACTGCAGAAATAAAGCAGTTTGGTACAATTTTAACTACCACAGCTCAATACTATGGAATTCTGGGACTTGTAGTTTGCTGGGCACCATAGAGTTCAGCACCATGGGCAGCTAAATATCTCAAAAACCTACAAATCCCAGAATTCCATAACCTTGAGTCATGGCAGTTGAAGCGGTGTCAAACTGTATTACTTCTGCAATGTGGATAGACCCTTAGTGATTGATTCGATAAGTCTATTCTGATGACCTTGGGAAAGTCATATGCTCTCTGCTTCAGGAAAGGCAATGGGAAACATCCTCTGAAGAAATCTTGCAAAGAGGACTCCATTATAGGTTTGCCTTAGAGTCTCCATAAGTTCGAAATGACTTGAAAGTGCACAACAACAAAATAATTGGGGCTAACCAATGGGCCAAGGTGTATATTTTAATGTACACATGTATTTCAACAAAACAAATACTAGCATATGTCCACTAACAAAGCTTCTGAAAAAAGAAGATCCTTTTTATGAAATCCCCTTACAAACACCCAGCCCAGCCTCCCCTTTTCTTGTCTTCTGTTTAGTTGGAAGCCTTTTTGTAGCATTGGCCTTGGGAGAATGGTGAAGGAGGGCTGGAGAAAGATAGACTTTCAGTGTTGGATTGCAGCAGCATGTCTGTAGTAAACAATGCAATAAAAATTGACCTGGGAGGGGATTCAGTTCTTAGTCCTACTGAAGCTGTGTGTGCTTATGTACAACACGCAAGGTAAACAGCAACTGCCTCCAGAATCACTTACTGATCATATGTGAAAGCAAAACAGAAAGAAAACAGGAAAGCAGTTTCACTACCAAAATGGAAATCATGAAAAAATGGAGGTTGTTGAAAGAAAGAAAAATCACTCTGGGATGCATTTTGGAAGAAGCTTTCAAGAGATCCCTAGAGGATTGAAAATGTTTTTGTTTAGTTATGCAAGGTTAACTGACCTGATCCTGTCACTTCACATGTGCATATTGTTAGTTTTGAACCAAAAGTTTGCAGAAATGAACTGCTCTTCTTTGTGGGAGAACCTATTCCTATTTTTTCCATATTATTTTTTACCTCTACCACCAAAGTTTCTGTTAAAGAAGTAAATCCCAGCACACTTCTATGTTGTTTAGGTACACCTGTGCATGTTCTTATAGCTGCTACACCAGTTTTGGTACAGTTACTCTTTTGGACAATAGCTCCCATAATCCCCAAGTGATCCCCAAGTGGGGTGGGTATCATGGTTTTATTGTGGGTTTAATGTTTGTAATTTTATATTGTTTTTATGTGATGTTTTAATTGTTTTATTGTAATATGTTTCTAAAGTGTTCTTATTTGTGAGCCACCTTGGATCTCTTTCTGGGAGAAAGGTGGCATAGAAATTTAATTAATTAAATAAATATTTTTTTTAAAAAAATCATATAGGCTGAGAGATTGTGGGATCTGTAATCCAAAACTAACTTTTCAAAGTTCAGATTTCCCAGGCTTTCCTGGGTTGACAATGCAGTCTTTAATACAGGTGTTGAGAAAGTCCAGCTTTGCTTTTGTGAATCTGAAATACACATGTCAGTCCTCCAAGTCCCCTAAATTCTAAATTCTTTTTTTAAAAAATCAGTGAAATTTTGTATGATTTTTACCTGAAAATTCACAGACCCCTCTACAACACAAAAAATGCCCAGCCACATCTACAGAACAACCTTCCACTCCCAAGTATCTTTATTGTCATCTGAGTCCCTTTCAAAATGATGCCAGAAAGTCACTGCTCACCACTTTGAGAGGGATTCTAAAGAAAAAATAGAAGCATTGTGGTATCATGGCAAATTGAGGGAGTGCATCTACACTCTACAATTAATGCAGTTTGACACCACTTTAAGGGCAGTAGCATCATCCAGTGGAATCCTGGGGTCTATAGTTTTATGGAGTCTTTAGTCTTCTCTGCTAAAGAGTACTGGTGCCTCACCAAACTACAAATCCCAGGTTTCTGTAGGATGGGGCCATAGCAGTTAAAGTGAATGGCCTGCCGGACGAGATCTGTCTTATTACCACTCTTGCTGCCTTTAAAAAGGCAGTAAAGACGGATCTCTTCCGGCAGACCTTCCCAGAGTAATTTCCCGGCTCTTCCTTTAGTTTAGATGGTCTGGCTTGTTAATCCGCTCTCCTACGCCTAGCCACTATTGTTTTTTTGTTTTTGTTTTATGATTTTCTTATTGATGCTGTTTTTAATACTATTCTAGTTTAATCTATTTTTAAGGGGTGGGAGGGTTAGGGGGAGTATTGGGTGATGTGTTTTATTCTTGCATTGTTTTAATCTGTTGTACGCTGCCCCGGTTGCTTCGCAGAGGGGCGGGTTAGAAATAAAACTTATTATTAAATGTATTATTATTATGTCAAATTGCATTATTTCTACAGTGTATACAACCATAGATAGATGCTTTTCCGATGCTCCCTGCTCTCCACCAGACACTGTGGAAGGAAGCTTCTAAAAGGTGGCTTTTAGGAAGATTTTGGCCATTGCAAAAGGTTGGTTCAGTGACTCCTCACCCCCTTTAAAAATGATTTATAGTGCAATGATTTAGACTTAGGTCACTGTAACTCACTAAGAGGAAGCCAGTGAAACTCTGTTTGCAGCTAGGTTAATTGGAGATGATGGGCCAATGTTTCCAAACTCTGGTTGCAGCTTGGCCACTGCTTTTGCACCTCTTTTTTGCTAACTATTCCAGCTGCACATCAGAGCAGCAGCATTTCCCCTAGGAAGGCATGACCCAAACAGCAGTTGGCCCCCAACTCCCCCCGCCCCAACAAACTTTAACTTTCTGTCAAGAAAGTGAATCCAACAGAAGCTGACATTGCTTGTTTGAAACAAGAAAACACCAATCAGTCAAAAGTGTTACATTTGACTGCAAATATTGTAATCAGTAGAAGGAGAGAAAGAGATATTTATGCTTATTTATGTTTATTAAGTCCTTTCTCCCACCAGTCTCAATTTAATCATCTTGGCTTCTAGGGATAGTTCAGGCTTGATTTGCTTGGCTTCTAGGGATAGTTCAGGCTTGATGATTAAATTGTCCTTCTCTGCCCTGTGAAGTGGGCTCAATCCCTGAAAGTCAAGGTCAAGCCCTGAGATCTGGCAACCCTACGTGAGGAAGCTTGGGAGAAGTGCCCCTTGGAGCCATAGGGGAACTATAATTAATCTTCAGCTTTGCTGACTTCTGCATTCTGTTCTCTGTCAAGCAAGGCACCTCTCTGTTTTTACTGCAGTGGGAGCAGGGCTACATATCTTGACCTCTCTGGCTTGCACATGGAAGAAAAAAATCATTTTTCTCCTCACTGGGCAAGACAATGAGAGGTTTTTGCCCATTTCCTTTCTCTTTGAGCCTGCCTGAGCTCTAAGATGTTTGGGAGAGCCCTTTCTCTCAGTCCTACCACCTTCACAGGCTCATCTGGTGAGAACTTGGGAGAAGGTCTTCTTGGTGACTGCTTTCAGGGAATGCAAGAATAATGCCTTCCTTCCTCTCCTTCTGTTGGCAAATGATTCTATTCTATTTTCTATTCCTGAGAGGTTTTTAAAGGAATTTACTGCCATGTTCTGTTCTGTTGATTTTTATCTTTTGACTTTTAATGGATCTATTTTGAATAGTTTTTTCTATATATTTTAACTGCATTTTAATAATGCTCTTAATCCTACTGATTAATCATTTGGCCCTGCAAGCCCTGTCTCCATTACAGAAGATGATTATAGGACTGCAACTCCCATCTGTCTTAGCAAATGAAGCCTATGATGGGGAATTCTGGGAGCTACAGTTTAACAACTTTGGGTGACTGCACAGTTCCCAAGTATAGTGCCTCAACTATTACCCCCCCCAACTAAAGTTGACCTATGGAA